GGTAGTACTAGTGGTAGTAGTCGTAGTAGTAGTAGTAGTAGTCGTCGTCGTCGTCGTCGTCGTCGTCGTCGTCGTCGTCGTCGTCGTCGTCGTCGTCGTCGTCGTCGTCGTCGTCGTCGTCGTCGTCGTCGTCGTAGTAGTAGTAGTAGTAGTGGTAGTAGTAGTAGTAGTCGTAGTAGTAGTAGTAGTCGTAGTAGTAGTAGTAGTAGTAGTAGCAATAGTAACAGTAAATGGAATAGTAGTAGTAGTAGTAGTAGTAATAGTAGTAGTAGTAGTAGTAGTAGTAGTAGTAGTAGTAGTAGTAGTAGACGTAGTAGTGGTAGTAGTAGCAGTAGTAGCAGTAGTACAAGTAGTAATAGGTAGCAGTAGTATTAGTATTAGCAGTGGTAGTAGTAGTAGTAGTAGTAGTAGTAGTAGTAGTAGTAGTAGCAGTAGTAGTAGCAGTAGCAGTAGCAGTAGTAGTAGTAGTAGGAATAATAGCAATATTAATAATTGTATGAGGGTTGCACATTGTCTTCGTGTCGATACAAACGTCGCCTCGGTGTACTATTGTGTATAAGGCCTAACAGAATTCCTACAAAGGGGAATTACGGAAACAGTAATTTAAAACCTGGCCTTCGTGTATTTCGCGCCCATGCGTACCTTCGTGCACTATTCGCTGTAGAGGCTGTATATTGGATTCGCATTACAAAGTGTACAAAACAACAATTTCAAACCTGTCCTTCGTGTCGCCGTCGGATTTGGAGCGATCGCCACCGTCAGCCGCTTGATTTCGGCACGCCCCTCTCGAAGATCGTGGGCCTGGCCCTCCGACGCGCGATTGCGGCGCACACCTCACTTAGATCGTGGCCCCGGCCAAATTGAGGGCGCTTCCTAATTTCGGCACGCCGCTCACGAGGATCGTGTCTTGCCAAATTGGGAGCGCTGCCGACGACCCACCGACGCCCAATGTCGGAACACCCTTCACATGGACCGTAAACCTCGCCACATTGGGATCGCCGCCCGACGCTCGATTTTGGCACACCAGTCACATGGACCGTGGCCCTGGCCCAATTGGGAGCGCTGCCGACGGCCCACCGACGCCCAATGTCGGAACACCCCTCACGTGGATCGCGGCCCTCTGGTCCAATTGGGGGCGTTGCCGGGGGCCCACCGACGCGCAATTTCGCACACCCATCACAAGGATCGCGGCCCTGGCCTCATGTGAAGCGCCGCCGACGGCCCGCCGACGCGCAATTTCTGCACACCCCTCAAGATAATCACGGCCTTGGCCCCATTGGGGCCGCCGCCGAAGGCCCACCGACGTCCAGCTTTGACACTTCCCCCCACAAGGATC